CGTTCCTCAAATTGAGCCATGTAATTATTTGCTAAAATTGGTGGCAAACACGATCCCATAGCTAAACCTCGTGTTTGTTAGTACAGTTTACCATTAAAGGTAAAATATGTACAATACATAGCTAGGTTGGTCAACATAATTATTGACCCTTGAATTGACTTTGTGCTCATTAAAATGACCACATGTTGGTCTAGTGTGGATTGTACGACCTGTGTGGCATCATCTACAGAGATGTTAGTGTGCATAGACTTAAAATCAAAACTTACCGGCAAATCTGCATTTTCTATCTCCTGCATTCTTAACTGAAATACTAACATAACTTTAGATGATGCTATACAGGCCCTACAATTTACACTAGATGCGAAGATTTTAACGAGCAGGAAGTTAAGTAAAGGGTCAATAATGATACTGATCGACCTAACCATGTAGTGTATATAGTTTAAATTTAATGGTAAGCTGTAGGAACAAATGCGAGGTTTAGTTATGGAATCCTGCGTCACCAATTTTAGCAAATAATTACATGACTCAGTTTGAGGAACGCTTAATTCAGGGGGCACTTTTAGTTCACAAACTAATAGTTCGCGGTATACGGGCGATTACTTTGCTATTTGATAACATGGCAAAGAAAACCTGGAAAATTCCTGATTTGATGAACATGATCGATGGGAAGACAAAATTCACCATCGAGTTAGAAAAGAAAGGTGGTTCGCCTATTCTTGATGTGCTAGTTAGCAAAGAGGGGACCAGATTAGTTAGGAATGTAAATAGGAAACATACAAATGCAGGTTTACTTTAAATTTCTTCTCCTAACACACTTATGGGGTTAAAGTAGGATTTGTGAAGTCTATGATAATAAGGAACCTGCACCTGGCAGATGTTAAGCAAGACTAAGGAGAATTATGGTTAAGTATAATTATCCAGGAGGGCTGGTTGACAATTATTTTAGAATATAGTCAAATAGGATGAATTGAAATACATATTTGGGGCTAGACAAAAGGATGGATCACTCTTTCAGGATCCTTATGCTGCCATCGTTTGATCTGTCGAAGAAGATAGGCGAATAACTGAAGAGGTAGGAATCAGGACCATTTGAAAAGAGGAAATAACACTGTCGTCGGTATTGCCTTCTTTCCGAGAATACTCCGACAGATCGGGCTGTTACAAGATATTGTGTTCATGTGGTAGTGTCTATGTGGGAGAGACCTGTAGACCCATGCAGAAGAGATTATCCGAACACAAAACAGCATGCAAGAGTATGTGGCTCCAAAAATCGAAATTGGCTCGCACAGGACACCAGATGGATTGGTCTAATGCCAAACGCTTAGCTGGACATGGCGACTGTACCAAGCAGTAAGCGGAAGATTAGGGAGGCGATGGAAGTCAACAAGACAGCCAACCCCAGAAAGAGAAGGAATGAGTGTAGCAAGTTAAGCGGAAACTACTTGTGGCTGTCCGATAGGTTTAGAGAGAGAGAGGAACGAGCAGTAGCACCGAGCAAGAGGAAGAGGCTTGATTAGGCGTAAATCTGGTTTTAAGTCTAACTTCACACTCATTTCAAGAGCAATGCACGCACACAAAACGTGTGCAATGGGACGAAATGACATGCGGTAACGTTGGAGGATCGAAGGCGCAAGTGTTTAAGGGGAAAATGCAGCTGTCCGCTTTCAATTGCACCCATTTCACACTTCATCTGTGGCCACTTCACATGTCATCCGCAGCCACTTAACTTTGTGCAAACGCAGAGGCAAAGCATTGGATATTCAACCCAAACATGAGGTGCATAAGTGGACCAAATTGGAATATGAGAAGGAAGTGGGCTCGAAGCCAGCCACCTTTCCCTCCTTTGTGTTTTGGTGAATTATCGTTAAGCATGATTTCATGCTCTGACGATATCCGTCACATGACGGACGAAAGCTCAGCAAGGGTTGATCGGAGTCGCAGGGCGGTGCACCGAGGACATATTTTGCACAAATCTACAATCACTGCTCCAAGGGAACCCTCCCACAGCCTCCAGTGGAACCAACGTACGACTTCTTTACATTTGCCTCTTCAAACAAAATTAAAGGTACTCCAACATCAATCTATTAATGGAATCTTCCAAACCCATTTTTTGGCTTTTTATAAATTGCTTACATGCCATACTTCCTAAGAAGTCCGCCCGCATTATTCAAAAGTCGAAGTATAGAAAAAGATAACGACCCATAAAAATTGTTAATATTTCCATTTTACCTTAGATAGTTAGTACTTTTCGTCATTTACCTAACAATAAAATAATCGTTGACTACTCCTAATGAACAGTTGTTCAATGCTCAAACTTACTGTCATTTCTGAAGCTTCTGGTACTTGCCACTAATATTATAGACGCAAGAAGTTTATTATTATGATTGTTCGATATGTTCTTTGTTGATATAGATGTAAGAAGAAAAATATAAGAGATTGTTGGGGGACTTCAATTTTGTAGGAAACTGTATGAAGAGATTCGTAGATCGATCTCACTAGAAGGGGATCTTCTTCTGTCATGCCATCTTTTAGGGAGAAATATGAACCATTATCGAGCTCTGGCTGCTACAAAATTGTTTGTTCCTGTGGTCGACCTTATGTTGGTAAGACATGCCGGCCTATTCGACAAGGATTAAGGGAACAAAAAAATGCTTGTAAAGGAAGCTGGATCCAACGGTCAGAATTAGGCGAACACGCAGATCAGAGACTTAACATGAGCTGAAATAGTCTTGGGTGGTTAAACGTAATTTAACTCATATACTTACAAGCTTAAATCTCATTATCTCAACCATACTTGCATACGAACTTACGCAGCCTCGGTCAGGTCTTTCTCTTGGCTCATTAAGCCTTGATAACCAAAGCCTGGAATTAGCTTCTTGATCACTCTGATTTAGGACCGGTATTGCGTATAGAAGTTAACGCACACACTCTCGCAAGAGTAAAAGGACCAGTATGAAAAATAATTAGCCAGAAATTTCCATATATATCTAGTTGTTTTAAATTTTCTTTTGCTTAATTGAGTCTATATACGAGGTAAGATAGAGCAGGATAGTTTTCTTGCCCTAGTGTTAGCGTGAGACTTACAGAAATGAGCTCTAGCTCTGGTGATGTCCATCATATGATGGACGAAAACTCAGCCCATTTTCACCCCAAACGAGGGAGGTTGCAGTAAACGTCGTATAAAAGCCAAACGTCTGCAGTACAATGGGATTCAGCCATCCTCTTTTGGTGAGATCGATCTACGAATCCGTTTCCTGCAAAATGAAAGTCCCCCCCACAATGTTATCTCAGAAGATCCATCGAAACCCAAATTCTCTTCGTATCTGAAATATAAAGGAGCAAACTCTCCTTCATGGTTTCCCGATATACCCATCCATCTAAATTCTTACTTTGCCCATTAGAATGTATAAAAGTGTAGGTAATAACTACTTTAGCTTCTATTAGCGTCATCCGACCCACTGATTAACCTTAAGAATAAATTGCAAGGATCTGTCGTGCAGCTAAACTTCAAATATCATATTAATACCAAAATTATGGGGGCTTATAAAGAGGCTTGAAACAAGCCAACACAATTGCATAATTTAAGAAGTAGTTGCTAGAATCAGAACCAAAAATATTGACACAATCAGCCCTTTATTTTCGCCACTACAGAGAAATGGCCAAAAAAGCAACAGATATCAAATTGATTTAAAATATTAATAGACTAATATATAATAAACAGATTGTGTCAGGCGATCATTTTTGGTTAAGGATTTTACGTGAATTTCTTGCTCTGAATAAATGTGTCCTAGAAAGAAAGGCTAAAGGATGAATTATCTTGGGAATATGGAGCACAAATGACTAATACACATAAATCGACGACCACAACTCCAAGGAAAACCTGCAATTGTTTGCATATAACTCTTAATATAAGGCGAGAGGCCCTACGACAGTAAAAATCTTAAATAAAAGCACTAGTAACATTAAAAAGAGCGAAAAAAGAGCGATTTGAATATAATAAGATAAACTTTAAGAGAAAGGAATAGGGAAAATTACAACAAACTGAAACAAACCTTAGTCTGTCGTTTCGTTAGCTTGCCCACTAGACGTGGTCTGAGAGGTCCAGATATGGAAAGGGCCTGTTGAGTTGGCTCTAAGAGCCGGCAGCCGACCCACCAGTAAGTCTGACGAGGATATGCTACCGCATTAGACTGACCGCGACGCGCGTCAATTAATAGTCGATACACACATTCCAGATGATCCGCTTCTGCTCCAGATCCAGACTGGCCGTCGCGTTCACTCTCGAAAGCACCGATCTCCGATAATCCCCCAGCCCCCAGATTAGGGCAGTTACCGGCATCGCCACTAGCAGACAATCCGTTATGATGTCGCTTTTCCCTGTTCTGTAATGAAGAGGCATCGAAGGAGGAGGAAGATGAAGATAAAAGGGAAGTCTTAAAACTGGCGGAAGCTGCGTAGATTGTCAGATAGTAGAAGGCATCCACCGGCAGACGAACATGATAATAGGCATTAGCCTGCACCTGATGGCCACTATGAGAAAGCACCGTATCAAAGAAGCGACGCCCCTGTAGCATTTGAAGACTCCTTGAATTCGGAGGGCTCATTTGGAGAAGAGCAAAATTGTCACAATCGGCCATCTGCTGGCCAGGCCGATCAAACGACTTGAGCTGATGACAAAGCTGTAGTGGAATCGGGAAAAAGGGATGAAAAGAGGAAAAATCAGTGCCGAGCAAGTAGATAAGAGTGCTACAAAAAAGGATAAGGAATAGAGAAAAAGAAATAGAGTTAATGAAAGAAAAGAGCGAAATAGAACAAGTCGAAGCGAGTCTGTGAAAGATAAATGTAATAAAAAGAGAATGGATTTAGACAATATGACATAATATAAGAAAATTAAAAAAAACGAGCAGAGGCCAAATAATAGGACCCGGGAGAGCAAAAAAAACAAATGACAATATTATATAAGTTGTTTTACCTTGTTTTCGCAACTTGGTTATAGTGGTAGGAAGACTTAGATAAACGCACCTAGACAGGAGTCAATTGTATGCATGATAATTTCCATTCGGACCGTGGACTAAGTGCCATTACATAAAAATCAACACTTAACAAGTCTACCGACGTAACATGAAAGAGTAGACAAATTGGATTGTTCAAGAGTTTTTTGTATATCATGCGGCCCCTGCGAACAGAAATATATTGGCAAAACAGGTAGA